GGCGGCGGCTCCGGGTCGTGCTTCTCCTTGTCCGACATGGCCGGGGCGTGGAAAGGTGCGGAATAGGCTTGTGCTTGGGACCGCTCGCGCAGGAGTGGTCGAGGCGCGTTGCCTGGCTATTTAAATGGCCGATGGACTGGGCGAAGCCGGGCCGACGATCGGCAAACCGGATCCGACGCCGGAAGACGCCGGCACTTGTGCCATCCGTTGTGTGACTTGTGTCTCCGACGGCGTGCCCCCTTTTGGCGCGAGTGGCCAGCATTGGTTCGGCTGCTGGCCGGCTCCCTGGTTGCCTGGCTAGGATTGGCCTGGAAATGCCGCGGGAATTGCACCCGGTGTGACGTCACGATAAGGGCAGATGAGCCAATTCGCCCGGCTTTGAGGCGCAGGCTTGTCAACTAGCCTCGTTCGAGCACCTTTGCGGATGGCCATTTACCATAGTCGCCACTAATACGTTTTTTCGACAAATCAGCAGTTGGGAATAGCAAAGACGTCTTGCTCATATTGCCGACTTGGGAGCCTCGCCGACGCGTGTAAGCCAAAGTCCATGGAAATCAACACCAGTCTTATCCATAAGTCGGCCATTTCCAAGTAGAGTGTCGGAAATACGAGCCAGGGCCGAGGCCTGTGTTTATGCTTGCCGGGTGCCTTGAAGGTTTTTTTCTCATTTTATTTTACGGTACTCAACTGTGGTGGTAAGGCGATTCGTTTGTTGGGCGACCGAACGGAGCCATCTTACCCTGCAAGTCTTGCATAGAATTAGCTTCATCCATGGTATTTAATGAAATTGATTATCAAGACGTAATTCATCTAGTTACCAAAAAATGGCAGACGTGACAAATTCACTCTCACATGTCGAAGTATACAGAGGGTACTGACACATCAATGATATGTGGCGTGGCGCGCCCATGTTTTGGTGCAACATGACCAACCGCCGTTTCCAGTCCTCATGTGCGCCTAGCTCCAACTGTCCAAATCATGCAAGTTATATTGACAACATGTAACTACCCACCTGTGATGTGGCACATTATTTCGTCCCACTACCGCACGTCCCAGAGTGTTCGATGAGCAGCAACATACGCAGGGGACGCAGCCCGGCCACAGCTTCAACAGGGTCCAAATCGAACATGACCAACAAGCGCTCCTGAGTCTTGGCCAACCTGCAGTGGCCGTCGGAAGCAGCTGGCCTTCCCAGGGACCGTCTTTCCATTTCATTTCAGACGCACAATCACAAAGGGAATTAAACATGGGACTCGATTTTGGATTCATCGATACAGCCCACGGCACCTTACGCCGAGATGGTCCATGTGGTTTCAGGTTTGGAAAGCTTCAGGCCAACACGAAGAGATTTGCTATAATACTCGAGTCTTTCTTTTTCATCTCCAATGAGCAAGTCGGCTTTTTGTTTCTCTCACCTGTCTGGTTTTCACGCTCTTTGAATCTAGGCGAGGCTGTGTTTAGTAAAGGGAAGACAGGCGCTTGACCAACTCTTCGCGACGAGGCTTTCCGTTGCGCTGGTAGCTTGGGCAACTGTGGCTGTTGCCGCTGCAGCTCCTTAACGGGACGATTCCGGGCTCGCCGTCGAACTGAGGCGCATGGGTCAGCGTCACCAGGGACCACGTCGACGGCTCGGCCTTTGAAACCCTCGGCGCAGGTAAGACGGACTCGACCATCTTCGACTTCGCCCGCATGTTCGACCTGTCCCCGGGGGGCGAGTACACCGTCCAGACCGAAGGCTCGATCCCCGCGGCCAACTCGCACCTCAACACGACCGGGTCCGTCCCGTACGCATCCAACACTCTCCGGCTGCACGTCGACCGCAGCCAAGCGCGCCATAACCCAAGGATGCACGGGCCGGCACGCGGCTGCTCGTGGTCAAGATGGCCGTCGAGCGCTGCGGGCTGCTGGCCTACCGGCCCGAAACCCGCGCCGACCACGGGCCCGCCGATTGACCGCATGGACGACTTCTTCAAGCGCTCCGACCGGCCGGCGCGGGACGCCGTGACACGGACCTTTCGCGACGTCGGCGCCGAGTGCACCCTCAACACCATGGCCCTCACGTATCCCGACCAGAACCTGATTGTACCCTGCGACCCCTTTTGGTACTTTATTCACACGGAGCAGGTGGCGTGCCACTCGGTCGACCACGGTGTCGTGCTCGTCCACGAGGCCACGCGCCACTGGCAACGACTACAATTACTACTCCCTCGCTGCGAACTCGGCCGCGCCGACGCATACGCCTTTTTCATCAAGTCGTTTGATGGGGAGCTATGTTACACAGACGACGACAGGGGCTCGTGGGGCTTGTTTAGTTGTAGGAAGCGAAGCGGTGGCGGGTGCATTGTCGTCGAGGGGGAAAGCAAGTTGCATCTACTACCATGCTGCAGAGTCGAGAGTCGACAGGGTGTGCTAACATTGTGTAGTGGGATCCTGCAGCATGTAACTCTGTCGGTGTGTCGAGGAATATCTGACTTGCAATGTAGCCAACGTTCCGCCGGATCTTGAGCATAAAACTGACGATATGGGAGGGCCTTGGGGCCAAACCTGCTTCGCGTTCGAGTACGTGCCTCTTTTGTGGGTGTTGGTGTCAAGGGCATGAGGAACTGACGCTCTTTTTAGCAAACCAAACTGCCAGGGCCAGTATGTAAGCATGGTATATAGTACATACCCTTATACGACTCTATCCCACGCACCACCGCGAATCCATCAATCTTCATCAACGCCCAAGTCAGTCCCCAGCCCCGTCCCCGTAGGCTGGAACAGGCATCTGCTCTCCCGGCCTCCTCAACACCTTCTCCAAGGCATCCAACACGACGGCCTCGGCCCCCCTCAACTCATCCCGCAGCCCCTGACCCGTGTATTCCCCTGGCAGCCACCACGGCGCCACGTAACTCACCACCATCTCCAACCAATAGTTTCTGTTCCAGACCTCCCGGTCCACGGAGCCGGCTGGCGTCGCGACCCCCCGCTCCTCCAGCCGCTCCTGGTACGCCGCGTACAGCAACGCCGGCCAGTCGGCCCTGCCGTCGACGCAGTCGTTTACAAACTCCTCCATCGGGTGGAAGAAGCCCGCGAATTCAAAGTCGACAATGCCCGTGATGTGCGGCGGGCAGCCCGACACCAGCACATTGCGCGGCGCCAGGTCGTAGTGCGTAAAGACAAAGAAGGGGGGCTGCGTCGCCGGCGGCACCAGCGTCATATTCGGGAGGTGGTTGTCGATGAAGTCTTGCAGAAGCGGCAGGAGGTGCCTGTTGGGGGCGTACGTGTCCGTCGTGGCGAGCTCTCTCATCTTGTGGGCCAGCCGGGCGCTTTGGTATGCGTTTACTGTGGGCAGCGGCGCCGGCGGCTCGAGGCCGTCCATGACGATGCCCTGGATAATGGGGCTGTCTTTGCCGTCGCGGCAGAGTTTGAGGTTGCCGCAGCGCGACTGGGCGGGGATATTGTGTCGCCAGTCGGCGACCATGTCGGCCATTTGCCGGCCTAGGTGTCGGCACGAGTGGTTGTCCAAATCGGCTACGGGCACGGTGACGCCCGGCACTTTTGTTGTCATTATCCATCCGCCGTGGTTGTGCGTGTGACTTTGCCGCGCTGGTCGTGTGTCGTCGATTTGACTTGTTGTGTAGGGGGTTGTGAATGTGGCCGCTTGGCCGTCCTCGGACCAGGCGAGGACGCGGGGAGACGGGGTTTGCGGACAGTGTTTTTCTACTTGTTGAAGACAGGCGACTTCGTTTTGGACTTTGGCTGGTCCGAAATATCGGCCGTTGAGCTTCAAGACGACCTCGTCTGTTGTGTTGTCCGCCTGCTGTACACTGAGGAAGTAGATGCGGTTGTTGAACGAGTCGCTTGTCGAGACGGCCGAGACATGGGTCAGCTTGGATTGAGGAAATGCAGAGTGCACAATGGCTTCCATTTCCTCGCGTGACATGGTTACTCCTGCGTTGGGTTGATGAGGTGGCGTTTGCGGCCGTGCTATCATGTCTGGCTGATTACCCATGACGATTGATGGATAGGGGGATGTAAACTCGGGCACGTAAAGCCTGGGGGTGTAGAAGATTCAGGGTGGGAAGAGATGAACTTTTGTAGCCTGTTCAATTTTGTAGTCGATATTTCCATGCGCTCGAGGATATAGAGTACGACATGTTGGCATGCTGGTAGTTGGTCCGACGGGGGAGCGCAACACGAGAGTGAGTCATCCGGCCTGCCTCAGCAACTTGAACTGGACAGCATACACGAAATACGACGGCAAGATGCTAAGACCTATTAGGCCGAAATTCTCAGAGATGCAGTCAGTGAGTAATTCTCTTTGGTGACTCGGTATTATGAGGATTGAGTGTGACAAGGACAGGTTCTAGGGCTTGAAGGGGTAACAACTCAATTCAAAGATCATCTCGATAATCTCGTGTGGTGTCCAAAGGTCTTTGTCTCCCTCTAAATGCAAGGATGGAAGGGACTAGATTATATACATGAAAGAAACAGAGGTGCCTGAGGCTTCTAGCTGGTCCGTGATCGCTTCGTGTGACAATGTCGGGATTTTGTTGAGTCCCAACCGTGTAACATGTAGGCATGAGGGAGGTAGCTGGTAGTACCGTTGGGTGTCTCGTAGCACAACATGAGTATCGTCCGCTTGATCCAAAGAGCCCAGTCTAGGTATGATATATTGATAAAGATCAATCTTTAGTAATCAACTTTGAGGTATCAAAGGTCCTTGGTTTTCCCAAAGGCCGCGAGGGGACCCGAGATCTCTATGAATGCGAGAAATTAAAAACGTTGAAAGCCTGGGACAGCCCTGGCCCAAGGCCCCGGCCCGGATCTGGTGATACCTTCTTTGTTGTTCTGTGACCGTTGTTGGCCGAGCGCCCTTTGTTCTCACCCAACCGTGTGGCAACCTTGAATTCACTGGCATTCTCCGTGTTCCGCTGCAGCGCCAAATCAGCGAGAATACATGAAACGCATTGTGTCTGGTATTCTTTGAATGCGTGTGTTCCGCGACCTGTCATTCTGTCTCCCAAGCATACCGGCACGTTGGAGAGCCGCAACCGTACATGAGGTCGGACAGAAATTTTCATGCCTTGTCTAGTGAATACAAATGACTCCTCGCTACTCATTTCAGAGCAGGTTATTCTGACCGGTCCGTCGCATGCAGCAGCTGCATTGTGTGAAGCAGGCAGACTCGGCCTGCGCAGCCGGACACGTTGTGTCATCAGTGTTCATGCAAGTTCCATATGTACGGGTCGTCTTCAGACTGGCCACCTGCTGTTGAATATGACGCAATGCAGCGCTTGTAACGCAACATGATGTACTGTAAGGCGTGCATCCTGTCGTGCAACTTGGAGTGGTGGCTCACGCAAATGCTCCGGCTCATCGCTGCACGTTTAAATTGCTTTCCAGTTCTAGACCCCGTTCCTATTCGGCTTATTGTAGCACAAATTTGATTCAGTGGGTATCGACATTGCCAACAGGCGCTTGACCGCCGTCTGTTCTGATCGCGTTCTAGATATGCTCTTCTGTGCCGGCATCCTGCTTGCCGCGACCAAAATAGCCCTTTTGGTTATCCATCATTCCATTGGACGGTTTCTAGCATCCGTCCACGGCGTGCGACATGTAATGCCATGAGCATCATTTCATGCCGAGACAGGCTTACGAGTCGATTCTCTGGTCAACGTCTGAACAAGCTCATACTCTGTAGACCATCACCAGCCTTGGTCACATCTCAACATCTTTGCATATGCTTGCGAATATTTCCTGAGGCAGTAAGCTCCTCCACATCGATCGCAAGCATTTGGAACCCACCTAGTAATACAGAGCCAGCATTCAACACAGCCTGCCATCAGAGCTGTTCACAGAAGCTCAAACTGCACAACGCCATGGATTTGGTCCATATAAGGCGCCCTTCTTCCCCGAGGATGTCTCTCCTAGATATTCCTCATGGGCAACCATCTCCTCCAAGACTGAGCTACTACCTCACGCATCTTACACCATATACGCGCCTCAAAACTCCAGACACTTTAAAGGCTCGTCCAACATCAAGCTATTCCCTCACGCATCTTACGCCATACACGCGGCTCAGAACTTCAGAAACTTGGATAAACGTCAAAGCTCGTCCAACACCAAGCCGTCACTTCAAACACTTGCACCAAAAACCTATCTCGAAACTTCAGGCATTCTGGGGGAAGAAAACATCAAGCCCTCGTCCAACACCAGGCTCGTGCCTCAAACATTCGCACCATACACACCTCGGAACTTCAGAAATTTCCAGAATATCACAAACAAGACTCAAACTACGAGTCTTAAGGCCGAGCATATCTTTTTGATACTTGAAACACCTTCTGGCAATTTTGGTCCGCCATGGCACAAAAAGATGAAGACAAAACGGCCCGCGAACTAAACCAGGAGAGGGAATATATACAGGAGGATATCATGATCGCTAGGCGAAAAAGAGCCAAGGCAGTTGCCGACAAAATACATAAAGAGGTTGATCGGGCACGCACCGAAAAGGAGTGTTGCATGGCATATAAGAAACTCCTAGAAGAGGAGCAGAAGAAAGAAAGTGAGCAGATCAAAGCATATGAGCTTTGCAGAGCAAATGGCGGACTGTGGCCAGATACCGCAGAGTGGACGAAATACCGTGAAAAAATACACGAAATCGAGGGTCGAATGATAAAACTCGATGGGCTATTGGAGGCATACAATCGGATGATACCGCGATGTGCCTGGGCCCAAAATATGGCTCAAGATGTGTGTGATGAATTGGAGAATGATCTTGATGAATTGATCCAACGAAGGGAACAACTCAACGAACTTTTAACGACCGCCAGGGAGGCACCCGATAGTGATGACGACTAGTGCCTTTGGGGGCCCTGGTGATTCGGCAAGGATATTTGGGTATGGCTTTTGAGATTACCGTTCGTTATTACCCCGAGACGGCTGTTCTTTTAGCTTCGAGGTCTTTGCAATCATGAATTCAAGTCAGGAATCGTTATTGCCCTGGGACTCTTGAAGAAGGATGATTCGGCAAAGGACAGACGTGGAGGACATGCGAGATCAATTCGGATATCTTCACTGCTTGAGACGCTTGGAGGAAGATGATTTGGCAAAGGACAGACGTGGAGAATACGGGCAATCAAGTCGGATCCTGTTATTACTCGAGACTCTTGGAGGAAGTTTTTGGCAGCGGAGGATATGGCGATCGATTCGGATACTGTTATTGCCTGGGGACTTTGCAGAAGGATGATTTGGTAAAGGGAAGGGGTGGAGGACATGGGGCATGACCGACATTTGTTTCTCTTTGGCTACTCTTTTTAGTACTCGAATACGGAGTACTATATCAATCAATTCACTCTACCCTATCAAATCTTAGAAGTCCCAGTTCAAGTGTCAAAGTCGTAATAGTGCTCTTCTCTGTTAGGGCAATACGCTCTGGTATGTTTTTAGCACACTACGTAAAGCGCTTTTAAATAAACCTTTTTCAGATGAGATTCAAGTATAAGATACACGATTAAGGTTATAGGGAATTGTGATACCTGGTAAATCCTTAGCTATTATTCTTACACGAGTTAAATCATTCTCAATAACTTGTTAGATAGTTACCTTTTTCTCTCGCTAATACATTCACAGTGTGTTTATACAATTGCCTGCCAGCTATACACTATTTATTTTTATAACTTCCAATTTCAGCCTTGAGAGGGTTCACAATGTGGCGTCCCGACATCGGTACCATCGTCTGCCCATTTTGTTCTTCAAGATCCCTCTACGATACGCGACCTGACTCCCAAATTCAGGCACAATCTGAGCTTTCATGGTCCAGGAGTCACAATTTCAAGCCACCCCCTTGTCTGAGGTGTCCGCATATAGAGCGTTATGTACACGAAAGTCTGCAAAAGTTGCAAGAGCATACCCGTAGCATTGCTTAATTAGACGCCTAGAGTCCTGAATAAAGAGGGTGAGATCACGAGAGAAGATAAAGTCGCAGTTTCTTTGGTCCACTTCCAGTCCTCCCCGATATCCTTATCTCAAAGGAACCACTTGAAGGAACACTAAAGGATGGGGATTGCCTGGTTGTATTCAAGACAACAGCAGCGTGTAGGTACCAGTCTGGTTGTGTAGGCGCCTTGTCCATTCCAACTATCTGCGAAAAGTTAATTGCTGCAACACTAACGGAGTAATTGCGCCTACCCCGATGCTGGGAAATGAATCGGACATGTCTATACACCATATGCCCAATTTGGCTCTCGTGAGCGCGCAAACTCAATCACAACCTCACGCGTGCGCAGTACCTGTTCCACCAGACATGCGATATCGAGAATCCTTGTGGTGGTTTGTCTTGACCAATGGGCGATACTTTTGCCTGCGGCGCTGTTTCACAATGCATTGAATGGTGGGTGGCATGTGCCTACAACCCTCAACACCAAAAAGGCAGGATCACGATGATGCAAAAGATGCGTGCCAGCATTAAATTTCGAGCCAATAAGAGTAATTTGAGGTCAAGAGACTAATAATATGTCAAGTTCAAGCCACAGGAGGCTAGTGATGTGGTGGCGCAGCATTGGGTACTCTCATGAAAGGAGCGAGGTTTAATTGAGCACTTTCTGTTGGGCTTTGTTTAGTGGTATTGATCCGTGGTCATTTGGTCACGGTGGCACGTGTTTTCTCTCCACAAAAATGGGGATATACATCTCTGGATTGACTGTGACGTTGTATTTTGAAGAAGAAAAAGAAAAAAAGGTAAAGAGGACTTGGTGGTGAAATCCTCGATGGCAACGACGTGGCTGGATGATCTGCTGTGGAGGACGCTGGCGTTGGGAGGTGGTCAGAATGGCGGCTCCGGCAGCCAACCAGCTCGTGGATTATGCAATGTCTGGAATGGCTGCAAGCGAGTTGGCGCGGGGCAGCATCCATCGATGCACGCCTGGACTCGCGACATGCAAGGAAAAGGACGTTTCCCCATACTCTGATGATGGTTTAGTCATTCTTTGCTTGCTCGTTGCAACGCTGTGCTGCCCTCGGGATCTCCGTCGTCATCAATCGGTCCAACAAGGAAACTGAGCCTTGCCGTTTTGGTGCCGACGCCCGGGTCACCAGACTCTGGGCTGCGTCACCGGCGCGCGACTCGCTCAGCGCTGCTCACATGCGTCTCGTTTCCGCAGCTTGTCCATTCTCCTCCATCCTGGCCTCTGCTGCATCAAACACCCCTGCCGGCTCTGCCGCTTCTTCACCTGTCGTCCATACGGGGTAACGTACCTGACAAAACATCATCTCGATTCTCCCCACGACTCCACCTGCGTCGAGCCCAACCCCAGATTGAAGATCCCATGGTCCTCTCTCTGGGCTTTGAAGCCATCGAGACGTCTACCATAACCTCTCCTCCACACCATATCATGGATTGAATCAACCCTGCGCAAAATTCACATCGCCGACGAGAAACGTTACAATGGCTGATCTTCTCGTGCAAGCACGTCGCGCCTCTGTCCTCCATGCTCCTCCAGGCGCCCAAGTTGTACCCCGAAGCGAGGCAAAATTAGAACAGCCTTCATCTCACAAAGGCACCGGAGGGCGTGGAGGGCTTCGGAAGGTCGTATCAAGAACCCTTCGAGACGCCAACAATGCACTCCTTTCCTGGAAGGATGGCCTGACTGTGGAGGAGCGCGAGCGCCTTCGGTTACGGGAGGAAACAAAGGCTTGCCTTGATGCTCACATGAAATCGGTATGTTTTATTTCTGTCATTGCCGCCACTAGCCTTACTCGCCTAACCCTCGAATTGCAGGCCGAGACATACACTCAGTGGAAAGAAGCCGCCGAGCAGCTAGATATACTCGAAGGCAACGACAAGTGGAAGAAGGAGACGGTGTCTGACGAATATGATTTTCTCCTCATTCAAGAGCGTCTGCGTGCGCTCGACGACGCTCGTCTCAGCCGCGATATCCGCTCCATGATGCACCTCATTCGCACCGAGTTGAGTCGAGACCTCGGAGGCATGGGCAGTGTCGACCTGTACCGCCATTCCCACGCGGGCACCAAGAAGCTGATAGAGCGCTACGTCGAGTCGGCCATCGAGACGATTGACGCCATTGTCGCCCAGAGCGCCTTGGACCACCACACCATCCACAACAAAGATTTGCTAGACGGCATGTTGTTCTCTCGCCAGAGCTTCGGTCGCAGCGCCCTGCTGCTTTCCGGCGGAGGCACGTTTGGCATGACACACATTGGCGTGCTCAAGGCATTGTTCGAACAACAGTTGCTGCCGCGCATTATATCCGGCGCCAGCGCAGGGAGCATTGTGTGCGCCGTCATGTGCACCAAAACGGACGAGGAGATTCCCGACCTAATACGAGACTTTCCCTACGGTGACTTGGCTGTTTTCGAAGCAGAGGACAGCAACGTCGGTATGCTGGGCCACATGCGACGTCTCTTGACAGAAGGCAGCTGGTCCAACATTGAGAATCTCACCCGGGTCCTGCGCGGCTTGCTGGGGGACATTACGTTTCAAGAAGCCTACAATCGCACGCGCCGCATCCTCAACATTTGCGTGTCCACGGCGTCCATTTACGAACTGCCACGACTGCTCAACTACGTCACAGCACCCAACGTCATGATTTGGTCGGCGGTTGCCGCGTCCTGTTCGCTCCCGCTGGTATACACGTCGTCTCCGTTGCTGGTCAAGGACCCCGTCACCGGCGAGCACCACCCGTGGACACCGACGCCTCACCGGTTCATTGACGGCTCCGTCGACAATGACCTGCCCATGACCCGCTTGGCCGAGATGTTCAACGTGAACCATTTCATTGTCTGTCAGGTCAATCCGCACGTGGTCCCCTTCTTGTCCAAGGACAATGTTCTTCCCCAAGATAACAGGCCGACGGCCCCGGCCTCAAGCGCCTCGCGCTCCAACGACGCTGACTGGACCTATGCCGTCACCACGTTGGCGAGGGACGAAGCTCTGCACCGGCTTCAGTTCATGGCTGAGCTGGGCATCTTCCCCAACCTGATGACCAAGTGCCGAACCATCCTGAGTCAAAAGTACTCTGGCGACATCACCATCCTGCCAGAGATTGCCATGCATGATCTACCAAAGCTCCTGAGCAACCCCACCGTTGACTTTATGCTTCGCTCTTGCGCCCTTGGCGAACGCGCGACCTGGCCGCGGCTGAGTCGCATCCGAGACCGCTGCGCCATTGAACTCTGTCTAGACCGTGCCGTGCACCACCTCCGCGCCCGCGTCGTCTTCTCCGAGAGCCAGCGGAATCTGCGGGAGCTGACGACGGAGATGAGCCAGATGCAAATCAACATGATGCCCACGATTGCCTCGCAGTCCCCCACGCCGGTTGCCGGACAATCCGCGGCGGGCGACGGCACACCCCAGCCGCCTCCGTCGCGCCGACGCCGCCGATCGGGGAGCAGCGTCCAAACCATGCCCGGCTTCCGTGCCGCCCTGGATATCGGCGTCACGGATGACGACACGGCAGCCGAGGAACGCCATGAGCTCTTGTCGCGTGCACAGGGGGCCCACCGCAAACCGCGTCTCAAGAGGTCCAGCAAAAGTCAAATCAGCATGCCCCAGCACAGGGCGCCTGCAAACCTCGATGATCATGCCGTTGCCGAGTTTAACTTTGCGAGGCCCATGCGCAAGTCAGCCGGCATGGGCAGATTCCCGGAATCGCCCGCCGTGTGGTCCGAACGCATCATGGGCTTGTCGCGGGGAGAAGCAGCCTCGCCGACGGACGACGTCGAAACGAGCGAGCTGGATCGTTCGAGCGACGCCGACGCCGATGCCGAGCAGGCCACTGAGGAGAGCGATCCGGATCCGTACGATGTCTCTGTGCGAAGTGGCTACAAGAAGGGGCGGAGATAGGCTACCTGTGGTTTTTTGATTTCTTTTGTTTCTTTGAATAGGGTACTATTTTGTGTTTTTATTTTCGGGGGATATCTAGACGTAGGCACACGCGGCATAGCATGGATTTCCAGCGTGAGCATGGGCATAGCGGAGTTTCGCATGAAATACAAACCATTGGCGTCATGCAGCACCACGTCATGAGATGAGTGCAAATCTGCTCCGTAGAGAGTATGTGCAACGGTGTCGAAGCGCGGTATCCGCTGCGGGCACCGTTGAAACGTTCTTGGGGGGAGTTAGTTCCACAGCGGATATACTTCGGCCGCGTGGCCTAATGGCTAAGGCGCTAGATTTCGGTTATCTGTCCGCTTCTCTAGAGATTCCAGGTTCGACTCCTGGCGTGGTCGGTTCAAGTCCAGCTGGACTTTTCTTTTTTTTGCGTTATTTATGTTTGGGTACTATTTATCAATTGGCCTGGTGAAGTGGTGCCTTTACGAGTACTATAGGAAGACCAAACAATAAAAATAGTATTTGGGTACTACTATTAGCGTTTGCTAGACTCCTTTTTAGTATTTCAAGGCACTGTGTTAATAAAATGGCAGTGTGTTGTCTGTTATATTTTTGTTTCAAATCATCAACCCGCTGCTTTTACGCATTCAGTAAGAGATGCCTGTATCCGGGGCATCAAGTTGTCGCGGTCCAGTTTGTCCGACCGACACATGGTGTGGATTCCACTAGGCCGTACCCTGCAGTGCTTGCACTATAGATGGATTGAAGAAATTGACAAGTCCATTTTCATCTCACCTACAGATTACATACACTTCATCGTGAGCTCTGCGCTTTTACTACCCTGTACCCCGACCATTACACTAGATAACTCCACGTAACTCTAGGTGATAAATAGACTGTGGGCTCAACGTGGCAGCCTTTGTGTTTATTTATCGGCACTAGACGCGGACCATCGGGATACCTGCTGGCTTGCGGAGTACTTTTTGTTCGAGTAAACTCGTCATGCGTGGATGCAGCAAAAGGACCACAACCACTGCATGACAATCAAGGTACAAAGTGCTGCAGAAGCAGCAAATGCAGTCAAGGGCCTGGTCTCGTCAACAAAATAGAAATGACATTCCAAATTCAAACGTAGCGGCACTCGCGGGAGGTCGGATCAGCAATGGCGTGCTTCCCCGAACCACCACGCCGCCGACGAGCCGGCTCACTTGTCACCAGCCGTCTGGCCCCTTTGGGACAAGGGGCTGGATGCCTTGGCCCATTGCGTCAGCGAGGCTGGGATGGCAGAATCGAGACCGCTGGGCCAATGGGGGTTGGGGGACAGCACGCAATCGATGGTTTTGGCGTTGGGCCGGCCACGGCAAGTGTGTAGGAGGTGCATGGCGTGACAAAAGGAGACATTGGGGGGAGCTGATGTGTGCGATGAGTGCTGAAGGGGAATTCAAGTGCGCAATGTAAGACCAAAAAAGAAGAAGAAGAAAAAAAGGCAATAGCACGACATGGAGTTTAAACATGCTAGCTCACGAGCATAAGGATATTTGTTAGCAAAAACACCATGAGGATGAGGGGCAGTGAGGGGCAGCTTTGCCTGGGGCGGCGGAGACGAGGAGGGGAAAGCAACATTGAACCGTCGACATTTGACAAGTGTGGAGGGGCAGCAGAAACATCTGGCCTCAATTCCTCTCGGCATTCGAGCTGTGGCGTACGGGCTGCTGGAGCTTTGCATTTCATTGGCGTCGCAAAATTCAGGTGTGCTTGCGATGTACCGACGAGCTGGACGCAGCCGTGGCTGGGGGTAGGCTGGCGTCATGATTTTTGTGCAAAGCGAGACGGCGAGACGGGCCAAGTGAGGCACGCCATCGCCGCAACAAAGCTGCGAATCCGGGTATATAAGGGTGTGTTGCCGGCCTCGTCCCACACGGAAATCGAGGCTCTCGATCTTGTTTCCTGCTTCGCTCCATCATTTGCTTTTCCCCTTTGCACATAGCAACCTCATCACACACAAACGTTCGCCATGGCCGCCAACACCACCACGCTCCGTCTCGGCTCCAAGGCCCCCGACTTCACTGCCGACAGCAACGTCGGCAAGATTGAATTCCACAAGTACATCGAGGGCAGCTGGGCCATCCTCTTCTCGCACCCGCAGGACTTCACGCCCGTGTGCACCACGGAGCTCGGCGCCTTTGCCAAGCTCGAGCCCGACTTCACCAAGCGCGGCGTCAAGCTGCTCGGTCTGTCGGCCGACACCACCGACAGCCACGCCACCTGGATCAAGGACATTGCAGAGGTCACGGGCGGAAACGTCAAGTTCCCCATCCTTGCCGACCCCGACCGTGTCGTGTCCAACCTGTACGACATGTAAGTTGCGGGCCGTCGTCGTCCACCATGACCAACCATCACCACCCATCAAGGACTAACTCTTTCTCTAGGATCGACTACCAGGACCCCACCAACATCGATAGAAACTCCCTCCCCTTGACCATCCGATCCGTCTTTTTCATTGACCCCAAGAAGACCATCCGCACCATCCTCTCCTACCCTGCCTCCACCGGCCGCAACGCCGCCGAGGTGCTGCGCATCGTCGACTCCCTCCAGGCCGGCGACAAGCACAAGATCGCCACCCCCATCGACTGGCAGCCCGGCCAGGACGTCATTGTCGCCAACAGCGTCAAGGACCCCGAGGCCAAGGAGCTGTTCCCCAACCTCCGCATCATCAAGCCCTACCTCCGATACACTGCTCTCCCCAAGGCTTAAATCCGTCAACGGGGGTGAGGCGAGGATGCGCGCTGTACTTTTTGCAACAGACAGGCAAAAAAAAGTGTGAGGGCCGAAACAAGAAAAATAATGAAAGGCAAAAATCAAGTCTGAGTCGGATTTTTATCGCAAGCTGTTGGTTGCAAGTATACCCAGACACAGCCGTTTCGTGAGCAAAAACGTGTGCCTGAAAAGTAAATCCAGCCTTCGTCGGCGTCGTGGTCGCGAAATAATGAGGAGGGAGTCATCTACGAGACGGAAGGCTAGAAAACTCTAGGTAGTAAGCGTTGAATGGTTACCAAGTCTTCTTGATCGCCTGGCAGAAACCGGACGGGGTGCCTGCTGTGACGTGCTTGATGTCGTGTTTCCCAACAAGTACCGGCCCTTGGCGGCTTGGGCATTTGCCGAAATAGGATGCCCTATCCCAAGTGTCAGGTAGGGGGGATGTTGTCCGGGTTCAAGGGGTGGTTTTTTTCAAGGTGACCCTGGCTACCTGGGTAGGCTGCCCAACAGGCAAGCTGGGAGGATTAGATACCATGGCGTCGACATGGCAAAGATGCCTTCTTTTTTTGGTGTCTTCCCGCCAATGTATGCATTGGACATGCGCCGCAGATGGTGTAGACGCCATGACGTCGATGATGCCACACGATGTGAGGGAGTGGTTTTCATTGCTCAGTCTTTTCTGCTCCTTTGCCCGTACTACATCGGACGAACCACATGTTTTGCGACTCGACTTGGCCGTTGCGGTTCCCCTCCCTTCTCCCGGGGATTTCTAGCCATGGTACATGCGTTGCGAGGGCGAGAAAAAGAAGAATGCGCATGGGCAGCTGTGACGCCGGCACATGAAGGTGCGGCGGCGGCGCCTTTGCCCCTGCAGCCGATTTGTATGTAGTACGGAGTAGTAAGTATAGCTATCTCGTTGGCATGACGCATCTTCTGCTGCATGGACACGTACAATTGTACATATGTATGTACATGTGCGCCGGCGGTTTGCTGGTCGCAGCTTTTGCCGTGCTCGCGCGCATTGCTGGGGATCGTTCAATGTTGTCGTTTGGGGTTTCATGCACGGTGACTGCTAGTTCAGGTACCTGGGCGAGCATGTACCTTGTGCATGTGAGAATGCATTGTGTACTAAGTACTCGGTACTCCGTACGTGCCTTCTAATATTGGCCAAGGACCTGGGTGCATGCAAGGTCGAGCCACTTTGTCAGATTGAAACCTCCAAGCTTCCTTCCTTCTTCCTCCCATGGCTTCGCAAATGCTGGTACTCCGTACAAGACGACAATCCTTCCCAATTCTCGCATGTGCCCGTCGCTTTTCCATTCACCCACCTGGCTGGCCTGCATGCTTGCATTGCAACCAGTACATGTATGTACTTGGATGCACACACCTAGGTACTTCCCCCATGCAGTGCATACATGTACCATCACGTAAACCCACATGGACGCTCTTTCCCTGAGCCGCCTGGCCGCAAACAAGCACTTGCCCCCCGCCAGGAAGCGAGGCCCCCCTCTTTCCCTCTTGTGCAGCGTCCCAGTTGCCAGGTTGCTTGGCGTCTGTGCATCTGGCCCTCAAGCTCGACATTGAAACAGCAAAACGAGGCGACCAAGCCTGGCGCTGCCCATTGGCCCACCTGGTGGTGCGTGGCGGCGCAACCGCGTTCCCCTTCATATCGTGGACTTGTCGGCTGGCTTGCCGCTTCAGCTCACAGATGGCATCACCAGCTGCATGAGCACGAGCGCATCATGAGCGACTGACAGACCCCCAGACCCCCTCCCCGCGACATCAATTCATCAGACGCACCCGAGCACGCGGAGCACAGGCTTCAACCAGCGGCTTCTTTGTCGAAACGGAGCCGCTCGCTGATTTGACAGGCCCCTCAACTCTCCCCCAGCCATCAGAACCCGGTCGCTCTGTCGGACCATTATCCACGTTTACGACGAGTCCTCGAGCTCATTTTTTCCTCTCTGCGTCTTCCCCTTGCCCAGCGCCCGCCTGCTCGTCAACTCGTCTGCTCTGCCTCGCGCTGTTCTCGAGTCGCCACATCGCCCTAGAGTCTGGTTGTCTCCATCCAGTCCTTGAAGCTACTGCATGTATGTGCGCATATTCCTTGTTGTATTGCCGAATAGCCTTGTCGACCTTGTTTGGCCGCGAATCCACCACGGCCACGATGCAGTCTAGGAATCCGCATCAGCCTCGCTGCCTCACCTTTTGATTTGCCTTGGTTGCTTGTTGCCGCTTTCGCTCGGCCAACTTCTTCTTCTGCTTCTTCCCTCTCTGCAGACCCATGCCCTCATCATCCATGCTCCCCTGCTCACCGTCCTGATTTTGTGCTCAACGGCTTCCGTGATACACAACCCTTGTCGTTATCTTCTTAAACATCCGCCCGTCCTCTCTCCTTTCCGTCAACCTTGCCTTCTGTCGTCCCGTCCCGGCTGCCTTCCTTGCCTGTTCTACTCCAAGTCCAAGCTCGGCATCCTGGTCCAACCGATCTCGACCTCGCCAAGACGGCTGGGCTTGGTCTGCTTTTGCCCACAATAACGCTGGCCTGATCCTGTTCATCTCTCTTGGTCAAGGCAACCAACGGCATGGTTTGGCATATATCCCAGCTGCAGCCTTCTCGTGCCATGTGCCTCTCTGTTAAGGACATGAGGGTAGTACCGGAACAGTATCCAACCATTTCGGTTCATGCAACAGCCGAAACGATCGCCGCTCGTGAAGCATCCCAGAGCTGTCATCGATCCTAGCTAGCCACGCGGTTCCGTCTCTTTTGTTTTGAACTCGACTGCCTCTTTTTCTTCCTCTTCTTCCTCTTCTTCTTCTTGGCTACTTGTACTCTCTCCAGTATACTTGTTTCTTCTCGAAACCCAACCTCATATCACATAGCATAGCTCCGTGTTTGTTCGGCGCACTCTGCTGCTCTGGCAGAGTGTTGCCTAGCAAAGCTTTTATCGCAACATGGCTCTAATCCCAGGACTGACTCTCTCACAGAGACCTTCTTTATCTCGTGCCAGTAGCCAGCTTTCTTCAGCATCTGAGCCCGAGCCAGACGATCGGTACGCGACGATACCTAACCGTGCCGGCCCAGACAACTCTGGAATATATCGAGCTGCTCAGCAAAATTCTCCCGCGAGGAGACTCACCCGCAAACGTTCTCTGCTCAACTTGACGAGTCGAATTACCTCCAACGTGTCTTCAATAAATCAGCACTCCTTGCCGGATGGCCGGAGGTCATCGTCGCCTACATCCAGGCCGCCGCAGCCTGCGAGGAAGCCGAGTCTCAAACACAGTCTTGAAAAACCACTTCCGCAGACGCCACCCGAATCGGACGCTGCCACGCCGTCGTCAGCTGGCAGGGACGATTCCGGGGAAAACCCCCAGCTGCCCCGGATTGAGTCGCGAATAGACACCCGTGCAAGTACAATGGACTCGGCTGGTGCAGCGGCCGCGGCCTCGGGCCAAATACATTCCGCCCAGGATCAATACCACCCGGATATCAGTAGTAGCATGAGCAGCATGGCGAGCTCTTCTAAACATGATGCCAACGAAGACAATAGAGACGGATTAACCCCTCGAAGTAATGGGCCTGCCTCAGCCACCCCATCACCAGCCATTGGCCAGGGAGCAAGGCCGGCTGGAACGGCTGCCCAGGGACCCTCGACACATTTGTCCGGGTTAATGTGTAATGTTCATCGCACCACAGGCCGGGAACCCCCTCCACTTGTCGGCGCCACTACTACTATCCTGGGAGACAAACTTTATGTATTTGGGGGACGAATTCTCTCTCGAAGTCGACCCGCCCCTTTGACCGCTGACCTTTATGAGTTGGATCTCATCTCACGCCACTGGACGAGACTGGAAACTGGAGGAGACATACCCCCGCCTCGATATTTTCATTCCATGTGTGGTCTGGGCGATACCAAGATGGTCTGCTACGGTGGTATGTCTCCCGCCTCTAGTCCGACGCAGCCTGCGCCAACAGCGGACCAGCAACAGCAACCCGAGGTTTCCGTCATGTCTGACATATACATCTACGATGTTGAAACTCGGAAATGGACATATTTGCCAGCGCAAGACGCACCCCAGGGTCGATATGCCCATTGCGCGTGTATACTACCCTCATCGGCTTCCTTTTCCTCGAGTCGAGCTCCGCTAGCGGCTTTACAACATAACCCGTCATCTTCGAATCCCAACGAAGGCCGAATTGGTATCAATATCGACGGATCTGGTGGTGCGGAAATGGTGATTGTGGGCGGGCAAGACGGCGCGAATCATTACATCGAGCAGATTAGCGTATTCAACCTACGGAGCCTCAAATGGACTTCTACGCAACCATTGGGGAAGAGCTGTGGCGCATATCGCAGCGTGGCTGCTCCTCTCCTCCCCTCTGTTACCGCCAAGATTGGCAAAGCGTATCCGAATGGCTCGCAGCGAGGGGACGGGACTGGCATCATGAGCCCAGAGGCTCGCGAGACCGGCTCGTCTATGCTCATTTACTCAAACTACAACTTCCTAGATGTCAAGCTTGAACTGCAAATTCGGTCCTCCGATGGGACATTGGTGGAGAAGCCCATGTCAGGAACGTACTCACCCCCGGGCCTACGATTCCCCAACGGCGGTGTAATTGACACCTACTTTGTCGTGAGCGGGACGTATCTAACGTCATCGAAGCAAGAGTACGCGCTGTGGGCTCTTGATCTACGAACACTAACATGGAGTCGCATCGACGCCGGCGGCAGTGTATTCAGCCAGGGAAGCTGGAATCGAGGTGTCTTATGGAATCGACGCAATACATTCGTCATTTTGGGGAACCGGAAACGAAGCCTCGTCGATGACTATAATCACCGCCGCATCAACTTCTCAAACGTGTGCATGGTTGAGTTGGAGGCCTTTGGGTTCTACGACAATCCTCGTAAGACGAGTCCAATGTCTGGTTTCATATCCGCGAGCAGTCCGTATTCTGGACCTAACCTCAGCCTCACGCGCAAAGCGGGGTACAC